AATATGTGATCCTGGACAAGGTACTTAACCTCTGTTTGCCTCAGTTTCCTTAGCTGTTGTGAAGATCAAATGATATAGTATTTGTAAGGCACTTAGCACCATGCCTGGTACATGCCTGATGCTTAACTGAATGCTTGCAATTATCATTATCATCATCATAATTGTTATTATTAATATTATGATTATTGTCTTCCCTATTAGAATAAACATTTTCTGAGGGCAAGGATTTTCTTTCTTTTTGTTTGTGTTTGTATTACCAATTCATCAGTTTTGCACAGTGTCTGTCACATAGTAAGCGCTTCATAAATGCTCATGGACTAACCAATGTCCATCTGTTTCAGTTTCTCTCTTTCTTTAAAACTTTATTCAGTTGCCACGATTTCTCCAGGTGAAAGTGATCCCTTGCTTTCTCTTGATCCTCTGGTAGCTCTTTGCCTGGACCTCTCCTTTCTTCTTATCTCATTCTCTCCTTTGTAATATAGTTATATTTGTACTTGCTCCTCCCCTACATTACACTGTGACTTATTGAGAACAGATTCTGATATAAATATAAGCATATATACATAAAGATATATATGTGGATATACTTAAATACCAAACAAGGTAACATGTAAATGTTTTGCAAACTTGAGAGAGCTATATAAATGCTATGTAAATGTATATTTTGTAAATGTTTATCTATGCCTATACATAGCACTTACATAGTTATATGTCTGTATATTTTCAAACATTTATATATATATACATGTAGACACATATACATAGCATTTATATAGCTCTCTAAGCTTTGCAAAGCATTAACAAATATTACCTCATTTTGTATGTGTGTGTATGTATATATCCATATAGACATATATTCATATGTATGTATTTGTATTCTTAGCATCATGCCCAGTGGTTTGAAATAGTAAGTGATGAATAAATGTTAGTTCTGTTGAATGGAATAGAATAAAAACATTATGTAGAAAGGTACATGGGATATTCAAGCAATTCCCGAAAGGACAAATGCACAACTATTATTATTTTTTACTTCCTAGCTATTAAAATTATGATTGCTAGTAAGATGTATTACAATTACGATGAAATTAAGTATATACTGAGAGCTTCATCTGTATTCTTTTATCAATGCAGTTTTATAGTATACACATATTAAGCAGAAACAAGGTGATACTTTCAATAAAATCCATGGGTGGTTAGGGACTTTAGAGATCAACTATGGTTACCCTTTTCTATAAATTTCAGCATAATTTACCAAAAACAAATGCAGAAACCTCTTTTTTCAGCAGCCCTCTGCCACATCTGCTTAAAATGGATTCTGATCATTCCATCTACTCTGAGCTCACTAATCTGTGAGCTCAGCCTTCAACCACAATCACTGGGGAAAAAATACACTAACTCTGTCCATGGAGTTTTGATGGCCCCAAGGATCTACAGTTGCCATCTAATCATGTATAATTGGACATAACTGGGACCACTATAACCAGATCAAGGTGAAGAGGTCTAATGCACCATAACAACACAAAATGCCTTTTTTGAAAGCAAGTCTATAGGCTCAAATAGTGGTAAAAAAATCTTTTGAAAGCAGAGGCTCCAAATGGAGCTGATTCTCAAAGGTCACAAAATGCAAGAAAACTGAAATTTTGATTTCTAAGGAGCTATGAAAATGACACAATCATCCAGTGGCTTAGTTCCTATGAGATTGAAATTGATGCTGCACTTTTGGCAGTTTTGAGTGTGTTTATGACTGGACAGTTTAACAAAGAGGAGACAGCTGCATAGTGGGAATGTGATTCATTCTCCAATCCAGAGATTGTGTTAAGTCTTTAAGTTTATCCATTTGATCAAATAATAGGACTCATCAAGTCCTATTGTTTTTGGGGGGTGAGGGGAAGGAGTAAATTACAACCCTTTAGACCTTCTTTAGAGAAAAAAAATGACAGCCCATGATATATACCTCCTTTAACTCTCAAAAAATGAAGTTGTATAATTTGGATTTTTATGATGGTAAGTGATATATGGTGGTGGGTGGGAGAGACTAAGGAGGCAAATATTTAAAAGAGAAAAAAAAGATAAAGAGTATTGATACTTTGTCTTGTATTTCCTCTACTATGCATATTTGGCTTGCTTCTTTTCTCTCTGAAATTCACACCTCATGTAATGAATACCTTGAATCAGTGAACTAAAAAGCTGGATTTAGTGACAATGTTAATATTATGTAAGTGCTGTCACTTGAAAGAATCATGATAGATACAAAATGACAAACCTGTTTATGAGTCAGTTTTATGCAGAGCACTGTTCTAGGTGTGCTAGTGAACAGATAGAGTTTATATTAGTTGTTTCTTTCATCATGGAACCAACAATCTAGAATGAATCTCTGGAAGGATTCCTGAGGAGAGGCATCGAGGCAGCTGTTTACCTGTTTATTACTTTTCATAGCATCTTAGAAAAGGTGAAAAGGATGTTGGGGATTAACTACTCCAACCTTCTCATTTTAGAGTCGTGAGAGAAGCTTATTATTTTGCTGGTGGTCACAGAGCTATAGAGCAGCAATTACTTCTGAATTTTCCCCTTTATTTACCTTTCCCCCCTAAAGTAACAGCAGTAAGGTGAAGTGGTTGTGTGGGATAGAAATGATGGTTGAATTTAATATACTAATTGGTGCTTGGTCAGTTAGTTAACTAATTATAATATATGTTGCTTTTAAATTACAAGTTTATATGCCTCTCATAATAGGCTTTTGGTATAGCAATAAGAGCAATGGATTTGAAGTCAAAAAATATAGGTCAAATATCAGTTTGGTTGCTTTTTCCCAGTGTGATCATGAAGCTATTTAGCCTTTCTGTGACTCAGTTTCCTCATATATGGAATAAATTAATTGTATTAAATAATCACTAATTTTACTCCAAAAGCTAACGCCTATGATATTATTATTGGTCAGATGATAACTTCTTCAAAATATTGCTGCTGCTGCTACAGCATAGTAGATAGAGTGCTGGGTCTATAGTCAGGAAGACTCATCTTCCTGAATTCAAATCTGGGCTAAGACACTAGCTGTGTGATCCTGAGCAAGTCACTTTACCCTCTTTGCCTCAGTTTCCTTATCAGTACAATAAGTTGGAGAAGGAAATGGCAAACCACTCCAGTGTCCTGCCAAGAAAATCCCAAATAGGGTCATGAAGAATCTGACAAGACTGAAAAACAACTGAACAGCAACTACCATTACCACTATTGCTACTACTACTGGTAACATTAGCTAATATTTATATAGCACAAAGAGTCACAAGCAATATTCAAAATAAATAATGATGCTTATTATTCATTTTCTATTTATCATTAACTAGCTCTTTGTTTTTTGATTAATCACCCTCTGAAGGCCTCAGGTCGCTCTTCTGTAAAATAAGGGGATTGGACTAAATCATCTCTAAGGTCCATCATAGGTCTGGGATTCTATGCTTCTATATTAAGGAAACCCCCCCAATATTTTAGCAAAAAAAAAATAAGATCATGATCCTTTTTTCTTTAAGACCTTAAATATAGATTAAATAGATGATTGTCTGTATAGTTTTCCCCCTGGGGAGGTAATTATGATCCAAAACATTTCTCATGCTTTTGAGATGGATGGACATACAATTAACATCACAGGGGTAGCTGAGGAGTCCCTTGAGAATTACATATGTACTGGGTACTAGAAAGGGTGACAAGTCCTGAATATAACATAGATAGATATCAATACAAATTTTGCCTACTCCACAATTTTATCTTGCTTTGATCTATCTTAGGGGGAAATGAAAATTACACTATTTCACATTCATACTTCCAAAGGTCTTTTAAAATCATCCACCAAAGACCCTCTTGAGATATCTTTGAGCAGTGGGTCTCATTGGACTTGGATAGAATCAGATAAGATCATTTAACATATTCCAAATGAAATTTGAGTAGCTTTGACTACTTACATAGATCTAATACTGCTGAGCTTAGTGTAGTATCATTGATTTAGCAAATCAGCTTCAAAGTGCAGTGGTATGGTATACTAATAAATATAAAAGCAAATATCAACAGGATTGCTCTTTAAATCAACATTGTATCAAGTTTTCTCTGTTGAGAATAGTTTAGCCCAATATACTACATAGGTCAGGGAACTAGGTCAGTCCTCAGCAAACTGTAGCCTATGGATAAATACAGCTTGTATCTTGCTTCTGTATTTGTAAGTTGCACAAAACAATTGGTTGGTCAGATTTGACCCATGGGCACTAGTTTGCCAAACTCTGGACTAGATGTTGAAATTTTGCTTTAAAAAATGTAGGTATTCTCATCTACTGTTTTTTGGTATTTTTATTGTTAAAAATATTGTTTCCATGTTCTCCCACTTCTATATATTTGCTCAAGTTGTTCCCTTACAACTAGAATATCATTCTTCCCTGAATCCCTTTTCCCCACAATTTACCTGTTGAAATTCTATTTATTCCTCAATATTCAGTTCAAAGAATAATAGATTTAGAACTTTAAGGGAACTTAAAGGTCATCTAGTTCAGAATTGTTAAATAAATAGGCTGCAAAACTCCTAACCAGATTAAAATGAAATGGGAAATATTAAACAAAATAAATGAAAATGCAAAAAAATACATTTTAAAACTAATTCATTATGTGTTGTATGGGGATAATTAGGTATGGATTAATGACCTTCATTTCTTTTGAGTTTGCTATCCCTGATATAGTTAATTTACCACTTTTTACAAATGAGGAAACTAAGGTTTCCATGAAGTCTTAAATTCCTGACCTCCCAGCTAGAAGTGAACTTTCCTTTCCAGTCTCAGACTTATTGCACTTAACACACTTAAATTATAGTTATTTGCCTTTCTATCCTATATCCCTTTGTATTCTGCAACCTCCTTCATCTTTGTGTCTTCCCTGAAGAAGTCATAGTATTCTGATAGACATTTAATGCATGATTTGTTGAAGGAACTAGTTAAAATGAAGCTCATAACAATGAGCATGCTTACTGTGTTGGTGGAGTTTCCATTTAAATGTAAACCACTATCAAAGAGAGGTGAAGAGGCCCCACTGCTGTGATCACTGGATGGTCCTGGGGACCCTGAAAACCAGAGGAGAGAAAATTATTGCTAACCTATAGTTCAAGAAAAAGAAAGATCAATAGTAAAATATGGCCAAAACATAATTTCAATTCTCCAAATAAAAATACTATTCCATAGCAAAAGACAAATATATATCAGTTCTTTACTAGGCTAATTATCTTCTTTGTGGATTATTTGGGCATCATGAGTCATAAAATAAAAAAATAAAAAAATTTATAGATAAAGTAGTCCAATTGCATTATATTAAAGATGAAGAAATTGAACTTGCTCACGGTCACACAACTGGTAATAAGAGATGAGATTCAAACCCAGGTCTTCTGATTCCAAATCCAGGGTTCATTCCAGCACTCTGTTACACATCTTTGATACCTTCTGAATCTAGGCTCTGCAAGTACACTCCCTAGGAATTTGATGAATGAAGAAATGGATGAATGAATAAATGAATGAAAAAATATTAAACACTCAAAGTGAAGCAGTTCCTGCTTTCAAAAAGCTAATATCTCAAGAGAAGTTTTAAGTTTCAAGCAAGAAGAAAGGCTCATTGGCCCTTAGAGTATAGCAGCAGTCATCCTGATTGGTATCTGGCCATTGGACCCAGATGTCTCTGGAGGAGAAAGTGATGCTGGTGACTTTACACAGCCCTCCATCACTCAAATAAGAATTAATTGCAAGTCATGTCATCATCTCCCTGATGCCATGGTCCTCTTTGAGAATGAAGGATGAACTACAACAACCACAACCACATAGCAGCCAAACATAAAGTAATGACTCCTCTTTAATGCAATTTCTGACTGCAAACATTTAGCTATGCCACAGACTGAGTGTTCAGTAGACATGCTTACTAAGGAGGGAAAAAGCTGTACCTCCATAAACTTTGCTTCGTCGTATCTCCGCAAGGGTTGATTCACTGGGTGTTGGCTTTAAAGACTGGGCTAGGACCAGGACCAATGATCAAAGGGGTGGGAGGGACTGTCCTTGGAGAAGTAAAGCCAATGATCTAAACATCACTTGGACTCAGGGTGCTGGCTAGGACTGAACTCTTGGACTCAGAGAGCTAGCCAGCCTCTGATATCCCATCAGTGTCTGATGGGAGATGATGAATGAATCAGTGGTGGTAGATTAACTTGCCTAGCACATGATGAGGGTGAAAGAGGAGAATGTAAAAGCTGACTGGAGGCTTAACATAAAAATAAACAAGCAAACAAACCAAACTAAAATCTTGGCAACTGGTCTCATCACTTCTTGGCAAATAGAGAGAGAAGAAATGGAAACAATGTCAGATTTTATATTCTTGGGCTAAAAGATCACTGCAGACTGTGACTGAAGCCATGAAATTAAAAGAACATTGCTCCTTGGAAGGAAAACTTATATAACATCTGGACCACATGCTAAAAAGCAGAGACTTCTTCCCCAAAATTTGTATAGTCAAAACTATGTTTGTTTGTTTTTTTCCAGTAGTAATGTATGGCCATAGGTGTTGGACTAAAAGGAAAGTCAAGTGCCACAGAATCGAAGCTTTTGGAGAAAACTTTTGAGAGTCCTTTGGACAACATCGATATCAAAACAATTAATACTTAAAGAAGTTAATTCAGACTATTCACTGGAAGGTCAAATGCTGAAGCTGATGCTTAAATACTTTTGTTACATAGTGAGAAGACAGGAATCACTGGAAAATACCCTGATAATGGAAAAGATTAAAGGCAAAAGGAAAAGGAGAGAGCAGGGGATGAGATGGATAGATAGTGTCAGGGAAGCAATGAACTTGAGCTTAGATAGATGTTGATTCATAGTGGACACAAGAGCTTGGCATACTATAGTCCATAGGCTCACAAAGAGTTAAACACAACTGAACAATTGAACAAAAACAAAAAACTCATGTCACTTCCTGTCTCTCCCTGGAGGTAGGCTACTTGCTTGTACTTGGTAAGGACAGGTGGTATCCTTCTCTGTACAGAGTGCTATCCATGTTAACAGCTGTGGAGGTTAGACTACTAGTAGAACTAGTATTCTGGAAGTATAGTAGTCTGGGGAAGGGGCACCGATTTCTTAGGATTTGAATTTAAGGATGTAGAATGTTTCCACTTGGGTATCAAGGTTGATGAAGGGGGTTCTCAGTCAGTTATGAATTGGACTAGATGTCTTTTACACTCTTTTCTAACTCTTAAAATCTGTGATTCTCTGCATACTACCAGAAAAGCTGATATTGCAAAGACTTTGAGAGTCTGAGGATTGATCAAGTGGAGTAAAATGTCATTGACCAGCCTTTGCTCTAGAACTGGTCCCTCCTATTCCTATCCACTCAGCTCATCTTAAAAAAAAAATTAATTAAAATAGCCAACTACTGTTTGGTGTCTTTATACAGTATACCTTTTCTATATCCATCGAAGGCATATTTTAAACCTCATCTCCTCCAAAAAAGTCTTATTTGATCAAACTAAAGTTACTTTTGGAACATTAGCAACAAGGGTCCTTCATGTACTAGGCTACATGTCCACTACCTCTTTTCCATGTTAGATTTTGCCTTGTCTCTTTACCTAACTTATGTACTATGCCTTTTAGGTCTTTTATATTCCTCCTCTCCCTACTGCATGCACATCCAAGGTCAAGTGCAGCTGTGTATCCACAGAAAATGGTCAATAAAAGCAATTAAGTGAAGGAGTAAATTTATGAGTTGCCATGCTATTGTCAAATTTGGCCAGTCATGTGTGAGCTCTTATGTTCAGTTCATCTCTCTCTGAACTGGTGGATAAGGGTAATGGTCATTTCTTTCACAAACTTCACAAATGATAAATGAATTTAGAGGTTTGAATTAGTATAAAATAACTTCTTTGTGGAGATTAAGTTTTAGAGCTCATAAAGACTACATTACTAAAGAAGTGAAAAGAATGTTTGATTTTGTAAGTCACAGCATTTGAATACAGATTCCAGCTCTGATACAATATAGATATTACCATAGGTCAGTCCCTTCACTGGTCTCCAGTTTCCTCCTTTATGAAACAAGAGGATTGGGAGAAATGACTGTTAAGTCTCTTACAGCTCTCAATGTATGATCCTATGAATATTATCAGATTAAAAATATTAAGTGTCAAAAAATATTAAGTGCCTAAGATATTTTCTTACCATAATAGTATTATTTTTGTGAAATAGAATGGATTGCTTTCATTAACATCAAAATTAACTTCTGAAAAATATAAAACATATTACCTCAGTAAGTGTCAATGCTTACAGGAAACTCCTAATTGAAAATCAAACAAGTCTGCATTGAAAATATATTGACACAAACTCAACTGCTATTCAGTTCTCTTTTGATTTTGTTGTTGTTGTTGTTTTGTTGTTCAGTAGTTTCAGTTGTGTCTGACTCTTTATGATCCCATTTTGGGTTTTCTTGGCAAAGATACTAGAGTGGTTTGCCATTTCCTTCTTTAGCTCATTTTATAGTGAAGAAACTGAAGAAAACAGGCTTGTGACTTGCCCAGGGTCACACAACTAGTAAGTTTCTGAGATTGGATTTGAACTCAGGTCTTCCTGACTCCAGGCCTGGTACTCTATTCACAGCTGCCCATTCTATTTTGATATCAGACTTTGAAAACAATGAATCAGGGTATTTTCCTCAGTCAAGCAAATCTATCTTTATAGTTTCTTAAATTTCCCCAAAATACTCTAATTGTATACTTGGCTAAATTTCTACAGGTAGTTTTGCAAGTTAATTCACACACACACACACACACTCACAAATTCTTTTGATTATTCAGGCAAAAACTATTCATTTTGAGTTGTCTAGAAGATATTCATTTGCCTGGATTACTAATATTCGTCCTGTAAGCTTGACTATACTGTTTGAGTGTATAAGCTAGAACTGACCTACTATGTGGCGAAGGCTATATCTATGTGTTGACAAGCAAGTCACTTCTCCTTTTGGCTCTTATTTTATCATCTGTAAAATGAGGGGGTTGGACTAAATATTCCCTAAGGTTCCCTTCAGTTCTAAATCCTCCAATCTTAAATCTCCTACTAACAGTCATTTCTGTTGCTTAGTTACCATTTTGTCCACTAAGGCAGTCTTCCCTAGTTCTAGATAACTAGGTATATTGAGAATGCTATCACTTTTTCTACCAAGGAAGGGTTAAGGCCAGGATGACTTTGGGGAAGAAGCTTCTTCACCTAAACCAGGGGTAGGGAACCTGTAGCCCAGGGTGTGGCTTTTTTGACTGAGTCCAAGTTTTACAGAACAAATCATTTTATTAAGGGGATTTGTTCTGTGAAGTTTGGCTTCAGCCAAAGGGCTGCAGACCTAGAGGGCCACATATGACCTTGAGGCTGCAGGTCCCCACCCCTGATTAAACCATGGGCTGTATCATCAGACATTTTATCGGTGGGTTCTGAGCTAGCTGCAGTTTAATTCTGAGGACTTATGTAACATAGGATAATAATAATAACTTTATATAGAGCTTTGATTTTTGTGAAGTGCTTTCTCTATAAATGTGTTGGGCATATGGTACAATTAGTACCATTTTACAGTCAAGGATAATGAAGTTCATAGAGGCTAATTGTGTCAGATGTGGGATTAGAATCAATATCCTTTCATATCATATGCATTGTTCTTGACTTTAACAAGACAGCTGTCTCTCATATCACAGATATCCCAAATGAGGAAACTAACCTAGATAAACTCTAAGGAAAGTCCTTTCCAACTCTAAGTGTGGTTCTTTCCCTCCTTTGCTCTCATTTCTCTCTTATTCCATTCAGTTCTTTCTCTCTTTTATTACTACATCAACAAGATAGCTCACTGGGTCCAGTATAACACTGAGATCATTGTGTTTAGAACCTCATGGGTGCATAACTTCTATCACTTTGGTAGGCATGATAGAACCAAATAAGTAAATTGGCAATTATAAGATTGAGAAGCATCATAAAGTTCAAGCCCAAGAAATAATTCTGAGTACTCAGTATTAACAACATGGACTGGATATATGCATTGATTAATTATGAGAAATGATGAGCAAATATGCCCTTCATGTGAAATGTGTTCATTTTTTTTTTACATTCTTATCCATTTGTATAACAGACATTGGCAAAGTGGAAACACTAAAATAAAGGTTGGAAAACTTCAAATCACACCAGGAATAAAAACAAAGGATGCTACTAGTTCCCCAGCTATCAACTTGACTAGTAACCCAAAGAATTTTAAAGGGATCCAAAGTTACATAAAAGTAAAATAAGAAGTATACCAAAAAGTATCATGGGTAAGTAAGACTGTAGCAATAGAGCTAGGAAGGTATTATGTTCTAAGAACAGAACAAAACCACTGTTATCGGGTCTGACTATGCTGTAGTTATTTAAATCCATAAGTTTCAGCTATTCCCTCTCTTCAATATTGCTTTTCAAATTTCAACTTTTAATTATGCTTCTAGAAATGGCATTCATTCCAGTGGTACAATAAGCTTCGATTCCTTCTAACACTCCTCATTATGATGATTGCTTGCCTTGACCTACTTCCTGATCACAAAAGCTAGAGAACAAGATTTCAAAAGGCCATGCAATCCTATCCAGACCCAAGAGCAAACTTCTTTATGCAAGGCCACCTTGTGGGTTAGAGTCAGCAGGGTAAATCTTCCCCATCCACAGATCTTACTCCCTTCCATACACCCAAAAGTCTCATGGTATAATTTAACTCCCAGAAGGAACCTGAGAAACCCCTAAGAATATAATTTTCTCTACAAAAATAATCCCATGAATTCTTTTTTCCTCCGCACCCCAACTTATCTTGTCACATAGTAAATGCTTGCTGAATGATTTAACAGAATATTTTAAAATTCATATATACACAAACACACCTGATATCATCTTAGGAAGAAAACATATCACAATGAGAAGAACACTGGAATAAGAAGTGAAAGGTTCAAGTCCTTCTTGTGAGGCTTACTAACTGTGTGACTTTGGGCACACTGATTGTTGATTAATCAATCAATATCAACCCTTCTTGGAACTCACTTTTCTTATCTGTAAAATAAGTGGGTCAGATTATGTGACCCCTGAGATTCCTTCTAGCTCAAAATCTATGATCCTATGACCTTTTGTTATATTTTTTCCTACACTTTCAATCTAGATTACTAATTCATCTAGTAATATTCTAGATAAATGATTCCTGAAATATGCTAATTTGCTAACTTATTTTATTTATTGCTTAAAAATACTTAAGAACTTAAAAAAGTTTAACATTGATAGTGAATAAAGCCTTTAAAGCTTTTCCTCAATCACTTCAAATCCTTAATAAATCATTTTTGCTCACTCAGACTTTCAAGAGTTACACTAAAACTAGACAAAAGACAGCTATTTCTCTAGATAAACTTGGGTTCATTTTCTTTAAAGCTGTATAAGCTTAAAGAATGCATCAATATTATGTTTAAGAGAACACAGATATCTCAAATGTCTTTATCTTTTAACATTTGTATTGCATTTCTTGTTTTTCAAATACTATTCTACTGATGAGTAGTATGATTATCAATCAATCAAAAAGCATTTGTTAAAGCATTTGAAATGCTCCAGGCAATGTGGTAAATTCTGAGTATACAGACAAAAGCAAAACAGTCTCTGCCCTCAAGAAGCTTACTTTCTAATGGGAGAGACAACAAATAAAAATAAGAATATACATACAAATTAAATGATTTGCAGCTTATTATCAGCCTAAAGGAAAAGTGAATAACAAGAAATCAATTATCTTATTCCCCCAACTGCTATTATCTTCCTTTTCAAACTATCTTGTATTTAATTACTTTACATCTATTCATATTTAACTGTGTTGTTTTCTGGTTCAGTTGTTTCACTCACACCTGACTCTTATAACTCCATTTGGGGTTTTCTTGGCAAAGATATTGGTTTGCCATTTCTTTCTCCAGATCATTTTACAGATAAGGAAACTAAGGCAAACAGGGTTAAGTGATTTATCCAGGATTATAATTCTAGTAAGTGTCTGAGGCCAGATTCAAACTCAGGTCTTCCTGACTCCAGACGTGGTGCTATCCATTATTCCACCCACCTACTAACTTTATACTATATCTGCAAATATAGATAGGTATATGTATTTATGTGCACATAATGTCTTCCCTCATTAAAATGTAAGTTCTTTGCAAATGGGGGCTGTTTCATTTTATACACTTATGTCTCTAGTGCTAGCATAGTACCTAACACATAATTAAAGCTTAAGTATTTTTTTTATTAATTTGAATGGCTTAGAGGGCAAGGAATTAGTAGTAGCTGGAAAGGACTAGAATGGATTAAGCTCTCATTATTTGTTTTTTCATTAGGCTGACATTCCCATTTCATTCAAACTCCAAAAAATGTTAACTCAAACATGAATAATTTTAATTTTCTTATTTTATTTTAACTCTTCATTGGGAAAGTTATAATTTAAAAAATTGCCAGTTATATAATTCCTTTTTGCAAAGGCTTTAATATACATTGTATCATCTGATGCCCACTACTATCCTGTAATGTTTTACATATATTATTGCCCCATTTTTATATCTCAAGAAACTGATGTTCAGAAAGGCTGACTCACTAACATCACATAGTTAGTAATTGTAAGCTGTACATTTGAAACTCAAGATTCTCCCTACTCAAATTCTTTCCATTTCATTACATTGCTTCAAGATGTTTGAGGAACCTTGGACAACATCTAGTCCAATCTTCTCATTTTATAGGTGAGAGAGTAAGAGCCATATTGAGGAAAATGACTTTCCCAAAATCACTGGTAGCAGAATTCAATCCTAGGTTTTTTGCTGTTTTTTGTCATTTCAGTTGTGTCTGATTCTTTTTGACCCCATTTGGGATTTGCTATTTCCTTCTTCAACTCATTTTACAAACGAGGAAACTGAGATGAGTTGTCCTTATTCCAAACCCAGCATTCTAGACACTGTGCCACCTAGCTGCCCTAAACCTAAGTGTTCTGACTCCAAATTGGCCGCTCTTTCTAATATACCACAGTATCTGTGTTAAAGGATATCGTCATCTACTTTTTACAAATTATGAGCCATGATTCTTATCCCCTTTTCTCACTTCTATGAAATTCTTTATACCTCTTATCAGATACTTAAATGTTTTCTTCCCTTCTGTTTTTACCACTGTCTTTTTTGAGCTCTATTTGTATCTATATATTTTATTAATTTAAACATATTTTATAATATAATTTAATTTATTGTTCTATATCAAATTATTATAGTACATTAATTTAAATTAATCATATTAACTTAATTATATTAATTTAAACAAATTAGATGAAAATATTTTATTTGCCTATATCTAGGTCTTGGGCATGTCAGCTCTTTATGACATTTTTTCCTCTCCCCCACTATTCTATGTTTTTTTTTTTCATTCTAAAGTGAACATCATGATAACTTGTTTCCTCCCCTTTTACTTTTGTTAATTAAGGAATTTTTCTATCCTAAAGAATTTTATCTACCTTTAAAAACTTTAGAACATTGAATCAACTCTTATTTTATTTTGTTTTAAAATATTCATATCACTTAATTTTTTCAATCAACTACTTCTGTTAGTCTGCCTAGGTAAGTAATAGTATTTGGGAAAATACATAATTTGCTGAATTTTACTAAGTTTTTAAGCATAGCATTAATGTCATATTTCTGAGAAAAATAAATCTAATCATTGGTCTGATGCACAAAATTGAGGTATAACCAATTTTCTGCTTACATCATAAATTTTAATTTTTCCAGGACAAGGGAGTAGTGGCTATTTCATTTGTTAGAGCAGAACACCAGACCTCTAGCCATTAGTTGGCAGCTTTCAAGAATTACTATGTCTGAAAATGTCATCAGCTCTGACCACAAATACCACATTTAGCCTTTCTATAGCTCTTTCAGATGAGGTTCAGGTGATATCCACACAGTTCTCACTATAGGTTGTATTAGAAGTTCTTTCAGCTTTGTGGGTATTGCCAGAATTTGCCTTCAGAGCTGTAGGACCAAATACAGCCTGTAAGAATTCATGGTCATGATCACAACATGATGTGGCCACATAAAAAAACTTGGCTAGAGAAGGGTCACATACACAGCAAGGTAATTATTGGTATGTTGTTTGCCTCCCCCATTAGATGGCGGGCTGCTTGAGAGCAGGGTCTGTTTTGAGTGTCTTCTCTATACCTCCAGTGCTTACACAGTGCCTAGTACAAAGAAGGTACTAAATATATACTTATTGATGATTTAGTTACAACTTTCATTAAATAATCCATTAAGGCATGGACAGATTTCAATCTGTGTAAGGCAGAGGAAATATCCATAAGGATTAAAGGAAAAAATCAGAGCCCTAGAGTAATAATGTCATCAACCATTTTGGCCTAGAGTGTCACCAGAATGAATAATGAATGCATGTGGGTATTACTGATAATTCTAAGAAAAGAAAAAAAAAGTTGCACATTTGCTAGTTTAATTTAAAAGGCCAGTCACAGGATAGCTTAAAATGTAGAGCATCTTATAAATATAGAACACTATATTGTAGAAGTATCAAAACAAATCCTTTCTTTTCAATATATGGTTAAATAAAAGATTTATATTCCTGTCAGTGTTACTCCATTTAGATAAATTTGGCAGGAAGGAAGGGAATTCTACCTTTATTCTTGAATTTTCCCCTTTTCTTCTTACCTAATGGGAGCTTCAGAAATGATGGAGCTTCCCTGAAATACTGAACAGTGATGGTAACTTCATCGCCAGCATTTCGTAATAGATGTACCTGTCGGTGTGACAAAGAAGAGCTACTTTACCACCACAAAAGGACCAATCACATCAATTTATATTTAGTCTTTCTCCCACTCATTTAGGGTTGATAGTTACCTTTGGAGTGTTGAGACCTTAGAAAGTTGAGATGGGATTAATAATGACAGAAAAAATATGTTTCTCCTCCCAAATAAATTTAATGGAATTCAGCATTTAGTAAATATAAACTATATACATGGCACTGAGGCTAAAATAAAGGAAAGTCACTGACCTCAAGAAGCTTATGTTCCATTATTGCAATATGAAGAAAAAGATATACAATCATAAGAAAATTTGAGGAGGAAAGGAAAACTAACAAGCTAAAGGATCAGGAAAGGGTTTTGATAGGAAGGGTCACCTAAGTAAAGTTTAATCTGTAAATATTATATTTACAATTATCATTGGAATATTATTTCAAACATGAGAGCAGGCTCACTGCAGCCTCCATAAATGACAAAACTATTAATGCCAAGTACAAGAGAAATAAATTCAATCATCATTACTCAGTACTAGCGTTACCCTAATATTAGTCAATAGGAACCATGTAATGTTAACCCTTAAAAAGGACTTGCACTGGGCAATATTGAAGGTTACATTTAAAGGTAGAAATTAATAGAACTAATGTGATTATTCCTTCTTGTACTCTACCTCTACTGATGATACCTTTTCCCTGTTTTTTTTTCAAGCCTGGGAGAGTTTCCTTTCTTACCTCTGCCTCCTGGAATCCCTGGTTTTCTTTCCATTAGAATATAAGCTCCTTGAAGGCAGAGATCATTTTGCTTTTGTCTTTATCTTTACTCGGCACAGTGCCTGGCCCAAGGTAGGCATTTATTAAATGCTTATTGACTGATTTATTGCTGTCAAGTAAATATTAGATTAACATTTATCTCTTTCACATTTCCTTATGAGAGTTTTTATTATTAGATAAGGAGGTGATGAGGTGAAATAGAAAAGGGATGTGGAGTCTAATTCCACTTGTTACATTTACTACACATGTGACCTCAAGCAAGTGTCTTGACTTCTTTAGGCTTGACTCCTCATTTATAAAATGACAAGATTGAACTAAATGACTTCTCAGGCCCTTCCCAACTCTATACCTATGATTGTAAGATCTTAAGTAAATTTCTGGCATTATCTATATATTTACTGAACATGTCATTTACTTTTTTTATACTAAGAATCTCTACACATCAGAAAGGTTTATTTCTGAGTCAGCAATACCTCTTTCCTATATATTGTAATTTACAGAATGAATGTTTGTTTTCTCATTTTAACTATAGTTGAGTTATGCCTAGCTAATAATTTTTAAGGCTAATATGTGATTTATCTATAATCGACATAATTGGGCTTCTAAAATAGGTAATTTCAGATATTATGATCTATTTAAAAAATCAATATATCAACAAGTCTTTATTTTCACATCTTCATCCCCCAACATGAAGTTTTTATGGAGCATTGGCAAAGGAATAGGGTAGGCATTATCAAAGTCCCCAAGTATGGGGATTTTTGACCATGGAAGGAACTTTGCTCAACAGACATGTCATTCAGATAGAAGAAAAGGAGAACTCTGATCCAAACTTCTCCCCCTTGTTTCTCTTGCAAGGAACTGAAAGGCTGAATCCTGTTCCTGTGACAGAAAGCAGATCTGAGGTCTTGTGGCAAAGCATGTATGAAGACAGTAGAGACATGATAGGACGATCTAGCCAAGGGAAACTTGAACAGAGATCTGACTAGGAACTAGCAGCTACAATGGACAATGAAATTTAAAAGTCAGTGCACAGCCTTTTTGTTCCTTCATTCCTCCCAACTATCCCTAGATTTCTTCCTGGGGAAAACCTCCTTTCCCTGTTACCCAAAAAAATATGGAGAAGATACCCCCTTCCCTTAGTCATCAAGGTCTACAAGAAGATGCATATTTCTTTAAATTCTTATTGACCTTTCTGTTATGTAAAGTTACTATTAAATAATATAGTTTAGCATGATTTTAGAGTAAGCCTATGTACACAGTTTATACTGAGAGAAAGGAAACTAGTCCAAAAGGGACAATATATTTTCCTCAGGTCATGCTGAAGTGATTAAAAAGAAAATTCCTACAATTTTAGTAGCCTCTAAACTCTTCCCTACTCCACAATGTTTTTAAGCTCTAATAAAGCCTTAATAAGGAAATAAGCCACTAGCAATAAGTGGTAGATTTTAGTATGTTTGTTCAATTAACAGTCCTGCACATATCACGTATCTCCCAGTGAACTTTCTTTTGGCTATAAACTAAATATGTACTAATAAACTAACAAAAGCATCTGCTAATTAATACTTTCTAGTATGTCCCCTCATCAAATTAATGTAAAAATTCAGTTATATGGAATCCTGTATTAATTAGCTGGTGACTAACTAAAATTTTCACATTTCTTTTTTAATATTTATTCAATTTTTAATTTTTGGAATAAAACAAGTATTTCTATAGCATAGTACAATAAAAAAGATTATTGCACATGAAACTGCAAATCTATTATATACAAGTTGCTATTTGTTTTAAATATATAATTAAGTTATCATGTAATTTTTCCCTTCCCTCCTCCACCCTAGAAATGATTACCATTAGATACAAATGTGCATATATGTATATATGTACATACAAAAACATGTACCTATATAACACATGTGTATATAAAATCATTCTATACATATTTATTAGTTACTATTATTAGTTCTTTCTCTGGATACAGATAGTATCATCTTTCATATGTCCTTTGTAATTATTTATGGTATTTATAATAGTTAAAATGACATATTCAGTCAAATTTGTTGTTAAAATAATTTTGCCTTTTTTTTTTACTGTATACAACTGTATATCTTGGTTCTGCTCATTTTGCTCTTCATTATTTCATGCAAGTCTATCCATGTTTTTCTAAGATCATTGAGCTCATTTCTTGCAGCACAGTAGTGTTCCATCACAATCATAGACCACAACTTGTTCAGTCATTCTCTAATTGATGGACATTCCTGCAATTTCCAGTTCTTTGCCACCACAAAGACAGCTGATATAAATATGTTAGAACATTGAAGTCTTTTCCTTTTCCCCTAATCACCCTTGAAATACACTTAGTAATGATATTGTTGTGTCAAATAGGCAGTTTAATAATTCTTTGGGAATACTTCCAGATTGTTTTCCAAAATTATTGTATCAGTTGACAATTCTACCAACAATGAAATAGTGTCCCATTTTTTCCACATTCCATATCCCCTCCAACATTTGTTGCTTTCTCCTTTGATCATTTTAGCCAATCTGATAGGTGTAAAAATGATATCTTAAGGTCATTTTAATTTGCATTTCCCTAACTAATAATGATTTAGAGCATTTATTACTATAAATTATTTTGATGTCTTTATCTAAAAAGTGCAAAAAGCTTTCATAGTTTCCATCTAATGTTATCTTATGCAAGTTTAAAAAGAAATATTATAATTTTAAAAGTTCTAACTAAAGTATCTTGAAATGCCAAAAAAATGGAGTGTTTAAGTGAGTCAGTGTTATTTTGCCTTGTAAGTGATGATGTAATGAATGATGTAAATGAACAATGAATATATAATTCTGAACTCTGTTGGCATTGGCATGGTGACTGGAGATGAGATATGTATGGCAATCATATTATCTAATAATTTGTGGTATGTATGCTAATTGCCATGCTAATGAAACTTTTGGATATAACTTGAAACCCTAAATTAAAAATAAGAATATTCCCAAGTGTAAAAATTATAAAGCTAAGATTTTTTATGAAAATGAAATGGTTAATAGATTTGGATTCAACCAATGAATCAACCTTTTTATAGTGTTTCTGCATTTCTCATTCATCTTGGATAATAATTTATCCTAGAATATTCTGATAGATAATGGGAATTTTACATATTTTGTTGCCTGCTTTTTTCAGTCCACATAGGAAAGTTAAAAAAAATTGAGGTATAATTTTTTCCTACTTATTTCCAGTGCTTCTCTCTCTCTTTCTGCATATATTATATATATGTATATATACACATACACATATATTTACATATATGCATACGTATACATATACATATGCATATATGGGTGTATGTATGTATGTATGTGTGTATATATATATATATATATATGAAATTTTTTTTGGTGAGGCAATCTGGGTTCAGTGACTTGCCCAGGGTCACACAGCTGGTAAGTTTCAAATGTCTGAGTCTGGATTTGAACTCAGGTCCTCCTGACTCCAAGGCTGGGGCTCTATCTACTGTGCCACCTAGCTGCCCTCTATATTTTCTTATTACTAATGTTTGCTAGATTTAAGTCACATGGTAGAATCTTTTTTTAAAATAATTTTTCAACATGTACTGTATGTTATAATTAAATGCTCCAAAATTTTTGGTTAAACGCAAGAAAAATCACCACAAATCATCAAATTCATCTTTTTATTGATGGAAGAATCATTAATTCATTTGAGGCCCTCAACTTCCAAGAAAATTTGTTGATTTTATAAAGAAAAAATGTATTTCAATGCTGATTTACATGTACTATAAGCACGCCAGTTATGACAAATTATGAACCATGTGAATAATCCAAAATGGCAGCTCATACCCAAATCATTTACATATGTTTTTAAAACATATGTATGCACATAAAAAGAAACATTTAGCATATATTTCTATGCTGTAAACATGTAAATGGTCAAATGCTTGGCATTTTGAGAATTCATCATACATCAAACTCAATAACAGACATACTGCTAAGTCAGCTCAAGAAAAATTGGAAGGAAGCCTTACTTTTCTTCAGATTTCATGATTAATTCTTTCAAATTTGCCACCTACTACAAAGCATCAGCCTAAGCCATGATGCTTTTTTCTCTTTGAGAGTGTCTTTCTGTTTCCTTACCTTCCTTAGTACAAATAAAGTAACACATTGTTCTGAACACAGGTCCACCCAGATGTGCCTTCCTAATATGAGGATACGGAGTGTCA